TATTATTATTATTATTACACAAGGTCCCAACTTGAAAAATCACGTATGAACCAGGACAACTCTAAACAGAAAGAGGCGAACATGGGGGCGAACTGGTAATATTCAATACACAGTCCGATGCTGCCCCCTACTGGTCATGTTTGACRGTGACACCCCGCTCTGACGTCACTGCGTCCTCCGTTGCTAGGTTATTACCCCGGAAGAACCAGGCTCGCAACCTGACATTTTTCGGCTTCTTCTTTTTAGACATTTCCTGGTGAAATATTTTCTTAATACTCGATGTTTATTAATATTTGTTCAGATTTTATTACGTTTAAATGACACAGGCTTGTGTTGTTGYAGTTTAACCGTCGTGGGCGTTGTCTTCGGTGTCTAGGATCAATATTAACTACAGATTGCTAAATGAAATAGCTAACATGGACGCGGTGTGTTTTCTCGTTAGTTTGGGGTAAAGCTAGCGAACTGCTCGGCTGTATTAGTTCATGAACGTTTTATTAACGCCAGTCGGACAAGAGTGCATCTTCTGGAGGATGATGGCCGCCCTGTCTCTGCAGCAGTCCGGGGAGGCTCCAGCAGCCTGCTGAGGGAGTCAGTCCGACCAGCACAAACTGATGACAGGCTGTTTCCTGGCCGTGATTTGCAGGTAGCAGACCGGATATGAATCAYATACATCTCAGGGGTGATCCTGAACGCTTTGGTGCAAAATGCAGTTTTGGGATTATATCTAAGAGCATTGTTGCTGCTTGTTTATCTGCCTTTCTGCCTGTTTACCTCTTGTTTTGTGCTCTTCCTCAGTGGGAGGCACTATGGCCGGTAAGGTGAAGTGGGTGACAGATATTGAGAAATCAGTGCTCATCAATAACTTTGAAAAAAGGGACTGGATTCAAGTAACAGAAACTGAGGACTGGAATTTTTACTGGTAGGTTGTGTTTAAACAAACAAACAAACAAACAAAAAACAGTTTTTGTAAGAAGAGTACATTTTATTAGAGTAAAACAAGATTTTCTTTTAGAGTCAATGGATTCAAACAGTCCTTAAAAGGCATTCTAGTACAACAATTAAATCTAATGTTAAGTTAAACAAACTAGTAATGAAAGTAGAGTTTTTGTTGAGCCTAAAATGATCAAATAATGCATTTAAATGCATCCTGATGATCACTTTGGTGCGATTATCTGTAATAATATGTAGGATGAGCATCCAGACCATCAGGAATGTGTTCAGCGTGGACACCGGCTACCGCCTGTCTGATGAGCAGATGGTTAACCACTTCCCCAACCACTACGAGCTGACCAGGAAGGACCTGATGATCAAGAACATCAAACGCTACCGCAAGGAACTGGAAAAGGAAAGCAGTCCTCTTGCAGAGAAGGACGAGAACGGGAAATACATTTATTTAGGTGCTTTTTATAGATCACGCAGATGGATATATGTACAGTTATTTCTCCCCCTTGATAATTTCTTTGTCTTTGTTCAGATTTTGTCCCTGTCACGTTCATGCTTCCGGCCGATTATAATTTGTTTGTGGAGGAGTTTCGTAAAAACCCATCCAGCACCTGGATCATGAAGCCCTGCGGGAAGGCCCAGGGCAAAGGCATCTTCCTCATCAACAAGCTGTCTCAGATTAAAAAGTGGTCGAGGGACAGCCGCACCTCAACGTGAGCCAGGAAACAGCTTATTTTAGCAGATGCTTGTTTGTCAGCGCCACGTTATCTTTGTTTCAGACTCTTTGATGGCAGGTTGTTATAGTTCACGCAGTGTTTGGCTCTGTCAGGTTTGTGGCAGCGTCCAGTGGGAAAGAGGCGTACGTCATCTCTCTGTACATTGACAATCCTCTGCTGATAGGAGGGAAGAAGTTCGACCTGCGYCTCTATGTTCTGGTGACAACGTACCGGCCCCTGAAATGTTACATGTGAGCATTGATTTATTATCATTTATTTACTCATATTTCATTTAGAATAAATCAATCTTGTATTTATTGTTTTTTTTTTTTTTTTTTTTTTTTTTTTACCAGACTTTATATGTTGGTCTTCTGCAGATTCTGCACAGTAAAGTACACACCCAGCACCAGCGAACTGGACAACATGTTTGTTCACCTCACTAACGTGGCCATCCAGAAACACGGAGTGAGTTATAACACGTTTATTACACAACCATCTGCTTCTGCTACTGTACATATGATGCACATGACTGCATCTTTCTACACAAACTCGGCAGCTTGTAGCACGTGCAGTAAAATTTTGAGGTCTGAAGCTACACCTCCCCCAGACTTTTAAATGCCAGGAAAACCTGTAGATCTGTTGACGCAGGCTGACGTAGATTAAACTGGTTGAATGTGGTGCTTACGGTAAATACTCTGAAGGGTAAAATGTAAATTCTTAACGCTGAAATGTTCTCGTACGCAGGACGACTACAACCACGTCCACGGAGGCAAGTGGACGGTCAGCAACCTGCGTTTGTACCTGGAGAGCACCAGAGGAAAGGAGGTGACGAACCGACTCTTTGACCAGATCAACTGGATTGTGGTGCAGTCGCTGAAGGCCGTCGCAGTGAGTTTATACACAACCCCGTTTGGGATTGGGATATAATTGGGATTATACTTGGTATTTTTACTTCAAACATTACCTTCTACTTATTATGACTTAAAAAAAATACAAGATTCATTATTTTAAACAAAATTAAAAAATGGAAAACATAAAAGCACGTTAGCACTGAAGCAAAGCAGGTGGCGCTCAGGGATCCTRCAGCTGCTTGACCGAAACAATGAAGTCGGTAAAACGTCTGTGTTTATCACAAGGCACATTGATTTCAGCAGCCTGTCTCTGCGAAATAAATAGAAGTAAAACCACCTGTGTGTCTTTATCTTGGTTTCAACACTACACTCAACATAATGCCCACTTCCCTTTTCCTCTTAAGTGATCACTTCCTATCAAGGCTTTGATGCTGAAGCTAAATAGTTCTGACTATTTATACGCTGATCCTTCCACGATGAATCAATCTGGGTTGCATTCAAAATAAATAAAAAAAATCTTTCCAACTTATTTAAATCTTYCTTCTCGTTTGTTTGTAGCCCGTGATGAACAACGACAAGCACTGTTTTGAGTGCTACGGGTATGACATCATTATCGATGACAAGCTGAAGCCGTGGCTTATCGAGGTGAGCGATTGAACACACAACTCGTGCASCCACACCAGAAAAACTTTGATCTCTAAATGAGTTTTATTATTCGGAAACACGTTATCAGTATCGGTCTGAACAACCTTGGTCTGCTAAAAGATACTTTGCAGAGTTTGGAAAAGTTCCGTCCTCTCTTTATCCTGGTCACAAGGCCAGTCAGATACAGTGTTTACCACATTTTCATAGTGATTTCATGTGTTTTGTCTTTCTTTTTTAAAGGCTGAATAAGTTTAAATATTTGAGATCTGTTTGAACACGTGTCTGTCCACAAATATGTGCTGAAGGCGTGTCTTATTCCCCAAATCCTTCAAGCTACCAGGCCCTGATGAACATATGTAAAAAGGCTACGAAGCCGTCATAATTCACTGCACTCGTTTTGACAGCTGCACAGTGTTTCCAGGTTAGGTCTGAACTATTTCTGTTAACAGACACCATTCTGATCTATTCTGGGCGACGGGGCTGAAACGTTCCTCTGTGACGAACGTGTTCCAGAAACTGAGTCAGGGTCCTGAGCATCCTTCTAGAAAAKTAAAGATAAACGAGTTAAAGGGGAAAAAAGCTTGGTGAATGGATATCATGTCTTGTGTTTGTGAGCATGTGTTCTGCAGCTACTTATGGTTAGATGGTGTTGTGAGAACAGAGCTGTTGAGCCTCATTTCAGTTCACATTCTCTATAAGAACAGGAAGAAGTGAAGCAATGCCTGCGCTGCATTATTTATCACTAGCCATTAGCTGTGAGCACCGTTCTCATCAAATGTAATTGTCTTGGTGATCCTCAGGTCAATGCCTCGCCGTCGCTGACCTCCAGCACGGCAAACGACCGCATCCTCAAATACAACCTGATCAACGACACGCTGAACATCGTTGCGCCCAACGGGGAGATCCCAGACTGCCGCTGGAACCGCACTCCGCCCAGAGAGGCCCTGGGCAACTACGAAGTCCTGTGAGTGACGCTCAGAACTCTTTACTCACATTCCCTCAGAGAACTGGGGTGAGGCAAAGAGAGACACGTGGGGGGGATAAAAATATACGTGCAGTCACTAACCGCTCTCACAGCTGTTCTCCCTGTGGATTGAAGGACTAGTAAGTGTAAAAAATAAACTCTGAGATCTAGTCTGGTTTACAGGAACGATTTTTAATTGACTGAATTGGTGGTGATGCTTGATGAATTGTAAATTTACTTGAATACAATATAAAATCTCTCTCTAGATCTCCTACATGAACATGGAAGTTGAAGCCTTCACAGCAGGCCGGTTCCTGTACAATTTTTAAGTCTCGCCCCTTCTATGTAGTTCTCGCTGCTGTACGTTCAAATATATTTTTTTTCTGATACGATTAGTTGTAATTTATTATTTCATGCTTTAAAAATAAGCTATGAAGCTCCATGAATGTGTGTGTGGAGGGAGTGGGCGGGGCTTAAAGCCTGCATTGCTAGTGCACAGACTCTGGTTCCAAAAATACTACACAGTACCTCCTGCGAACTGCTCGTAGGCTGGGGAATGTTTGGTCTATGGTTCACATCAAATCATAGTTTACTCATTTTGATTGACTCCATTTTTTTTCTCATACAGAGTAGTGTTGTGACAAAGTTAAAATTTCAAACTCAACATTAATTTTAAAGTAAACACTTGATACTTTATACTATTTTTTTAGTTCTAGAGAGAGAAAATTATGACATAATAAGAAGAAAATAGTTATAAACTGCTACAGAAGAACTTATGTTTTGTAGCAGCTCTGTTGCTTTCACATAAAAGTATAAAAATMCAGAATTCAGGAGAACTACAACTACAACTTTCTGTTGTATTTGTTTAGTGTGTAACCACTGTTGAAGTTAAACGCCCTGTTTGCACGCTCCAAACAGCCGAGGAAACAGGAAGTCCCTCACACTCCGCGGYCTCTCTCGTTTGTCGTCAGGTACGACGAGGAGCAGGCGCAGAGCGAGAACGCCGAGCGGGACCTGCGGAGCCGCTCGGGTCAGCCGCCGGGATCCAAGGGCGCCAAGGGGAGCGCTGGCGTTCGCTCTGCGGCGGCCACGTGGAAGTGAAGCGGAACTGGCGATGTCCTCCTGAGGGTTCGAACCTCGGGGAACGAGGAGTGAAACGTGAACCACACACATTGTGTTTTGACCCCACTGACGGACAACTTTCTCCTTTACTTTTACTGACTGTGGCACAAAACAAAMGACGGTTTATGGTTCTTGGTTGACACCACAAAGGTGCTATCAAAAGGACGATATKTGTGAGGATTAGAAAAACGATAAGAGCACTAACCCAAAACCAGGGAAGTTGATYGTTTGCAAGCAGAGCCAGCAGGATGAAACGCCTTCGCTTCATGTTTTTAAATTATAGCCATGCTGAGGCTAACAAACATGGATTGTATACAGTATTGGAAAAACCTATTTTATTTATGTCTCAAGTATTTATTTATGTATTTATTTATTTTAATGCAAACTTATTCTTTCTCCTATTTTCTCATCTTAAATCTTAAAGATGAATGTGTTTGGAGGGAACTTTTATGTACCTTTGCTGTTTGTTTCCTCCAGTTATTGATGTATTTAAGCAGTTTTTATGAGTAAAAAGCAACTTTTTAATACTCTCACTTAGGGCTGAATGGTATTGAGACCCATAAATATATAATACTAAGTTGTGGTATTTGAAAACAAAAGCTACATGTTGTGTTTATCTTTAATTTTCTCTTTTCTATTTATTATTGTGGTATTGGTGTTGTCTAGGAATGAAGAAAGAAATTTTTTTGGAGAAAAGTATTAATTCTTTTATAGGCATGGATAAAATTACAGTTAAACTAGAGTTATAAGCCATTTGTTGCAGCTCTGCCTGTGTCATATCATTTGACATAAAATCCCTAAACGAAAGAAAAACTGCTGAAAAATAATAGCTTTCTGTAACTCTATAAGGATTAAAACGAGCTGTTGGTTCTGACTCGGTTTCATCCAGTCCTGCCTTAACAAAGAAACCCATTTGATGTATGGAGTTAAGTTACTAGAAGATGCTTGATGTTTGTTAAAACAAACATTGTCTAACTAATTTTTCTAACGTTTTTACATGTTTTCGACTTATTATTTTAAAACGACCTACTTCTTGTTTCACTGATAGCATTAAATGTCTTTAATGAATGAATCTGAATAAGAGTTTAGTCTCTCTAAAGGCAATTTACCGTCATTTTCTTCTGCACTCTTTGACAATAAAAGCTTGATTCCACTTTAGTCTCACGCCAACACTTTTTATTTCCTCCTTGTTGTTAACGGCAGAGTTTCAAGACGTCCACCTGTGTGGCTAAACTTGGTGAGAAACTGGAACCGAGTATCTGTTGGTTGGAATTAAWCTCGTTAAAGACCGCTTCTCTTCACTTTGCAGCTGTGAGTCTCATCCTGTACGTGAGTTTCCAGGAGATTAAAAATAGACGAGTGTAAAAAAAGCAGATGTGAGGATTTGTTGTAAGTAAGATACAGATTAYACCTTTTCTTTAGACAAATGTGGTCAAAACTGAAATCTGAAAAGTGTGGCGTGTATTCAGCACCTTTGAGTGAATGCTGGTGTGTTCCACGTGTTTTACGGCTATTTGATCAGTGTTCTGTAACAAACCTCAAACCTTCACAAAAAAGCTGGATTAAAGAGATTAAATTACTCAGAGGTGGACTCTGGAGGCAACTGGCTACACTGGATTTTAGTTGGAGTAAAGGGGACTGAATACGGATCTTTATTTATTATTTTCTGTCCACTTTACAGTTAATTTGTGTTGTCACTTGAATCCCAGTGAATGCTGAAGTTTGTGGTTGTAATGTGACATGGAAAAAGAGGTATAAATGTTGTTTATGTTTATTCCTTACAGCTGATGGCATTCCTTGTTTGTTTTGTTGCTTAACCTCTTCTGCCACTTTTGTGACACCAGGGCATCAGCTGCTTGTGTGCGTCATGTTTATTTCCTAAACTCTGCACCAATCAGGGTAAAAAAAAAATAGTCCTTCATTCTAATGTTATATTATTTTAGAAAATAATAGGTGTACAGCAAATGAAAAAAAAAAAACCTGGACAGCCTGAGTATTAACACAAAGAGATCACATTTCAGAGGGACAAGGCTTCATGATTTTAATAGAAAATAAACTCTTAAAAAGCTGAAACATATTTATATGTTGGTTTGATTTATATTTTGTTCAGAACAAGATTTTGGTTTTGTCTCAATCCTGGGCAAAATAGCTGATAAATAAGTTTTTGGTTTTCAAATTTAGATTAAGTTTAGGATTATTTTATTGCCCACTTGTGAAAATCTTTTCCGGATCCTTGAAGGGCCCCAACCTAAAAAAAAAAAAAGTTTGCAGGCATTGCAGTAGGCGCGTCTCTTTAAATTTTGCATAAAGTTAATCAGATTAGACTTCGCCGCTAGTGGAGATTTCACAATAAAAGCTTGACACTTGCTTGTTTTCATTTCATCAGAACTCATTTCAGAAATAACTGTCACCAAAATCATTTTAACTTCCTGTGTTTTGTGGTCTGTTGGACCTGCAGTATGTGTGAACACATCGAGTGTGATAGTGAAATCTGGATTTAATTTGTTTAGACATAGGAGAGTAATGTGTTCATTCTGGGAGAAAGGTTGCAAACCTAAAAGAACCTGTACACACAATGATAGCTGGCCAATGTAGGAAGGCATGCAGCAAATGTTTTTTTCAGTTTGTACCTGTTCTGCTTGTTTTTCTATATTTATTTCGCTTTACTACATACTTGGAAGCCAAAACATACAAACAAGGTGCTACATAAACATGTCTTACTGACTGAATGCACAAATCTCTACCAAATAGAAGTCTGTCTCTATAAAATATATAAACAGGTGAGCTGAAATATCAGACTAAATGTGTCTATTTAACCTTCCAATAAAAAAATAAATAAATAAATAAAAATGAAGGTCAGGCAGGATTGTAGGAACGTAGGATCCAGGCAGGCAAAGCATAACCAGGTCTAATAGAGGAAATAGAGAAGTTGTGGAGAGTCACTTCCTCAGTGATTCCAGTGGTCATCAGACCACTCAGTGCTGTGACCCAATGAAATAAGGTGGAATTACCCAAGCTGAAAAATAGGGTGAGCTTTTATTTATTTATTTATTTATTTATTTATTTATTTATTTATTTATTTATTTATTTTCATTTCATTAAAAATAAATATAAAGTCTCAAAACAAATATTAATAACATATTGTGTATGTTTAAAGTAGTAGTTGGTAGTAAAATGGTTTTTTTTTAAGTGATAGTTTTATGTTGAAAATCCTGGACCGGAAGCGGACTGCCTCACTCTGGGTCATTGCCGGACGTTTGTTGTGTCACAGTCGCACACTGTCAGTCAGTCGTTAGTTGGTGCCGCTACGGAGCGGATAAACGCTGAAAAAGATTTGAAACTTGGCACCACGAATGCGAACAGCTCTCTCATTAAATCCAACTAAAAAAAAGGCGATAAACGCAGTCGAGGTAAGTTTAAACCGAGATATTTACATGTAAACTATTGTTCCAACTTTCTGCTGTTGGGGCTGTGGCTGCTTCGCTAACATCTTAATAGAGCTAACTTGGGGGCTAACTGAAGTAACTCGTAGTTGCCTGGAAAGTGATTAATTTACAAATAAAGCTCGAGTTATTTAAATTATTTAGAGGTAATAGTACTAATATTAGTATGCAACGTAATTTATGTGGTACAACTCAAACGTGTGCACCATTAACTTCCTGTTGTGGGTATTTATGAATAATAAATCCTCGCCTTTCACTAAGTTCGAAAGACTTTCAGCTGTTAAAACGCAGCCTAAGTGTTACTTTTTTAAAAAACTTAAGCTGTTTAATTTAGCATAGATATACTGGTGTTTTGTTGCCTGGAGTGATAAAGGGCGGGGCACGTTTCGCAAACTTTAAAGATAACCTCCCGGTGCATGGCATATATTAACCCTGTACTCAGAGCATTGCAAAATCTGACCGTTTACAATGGACTAATGGCTTAGCTTCAGCAGCCCGGTCATTATAAAGCTTACCCAAGCTCCCTGTTCAGCTCAATCTGCGTTAAAATTTGCGCAGTGACAGCAGGCTGCCAAGTCCAGTCTTCACTGCAGTAGATATATGTAACTTAAGTAATAAACAAAATAAAAATAGGGCTAATTTAGCCTGTAATACCTTACAGTAAGTAACAGGGATCGTGGGTTATTTTAAAGATGACAGTCATAGTTTTATTATGAATCAGTGGAAATGATCACTCACCGTGCAGTTATTTAGACATGTGCTGTGACTGGGTTGTTTCTTTTTTTATTTTGTAGGATTGTTGTCTGGGTGAAGCAGTAGTGAAAATGTGGAGTTCCTGTTTTTCGAGGAGAGCCTGTGAACTGCTACTTCTGTCAGAGAATTAGACCGAACAGGATTTATATTCCAGTTCAGGCTGTTAATTTCTATACATAAAGCCTAAGGGTAGAATTCTTTTTACACATGGTTAAAATGTTAAACATTTTGTGATGTTTGTGTTCGTAACAATGCCTTGATTGTCTGCTGCTTTTAAATGCATCAGGTAGAGGTAAAGGGGCTTTCACAGGAAGAAATTTCATATTGCCCGTCAACGATGTTGGGATCACCCTTTCCCTTTAAAGTAATATTGCATTTCCCTCCATTATGCTCCTCGTGTTCTTGGCATGGTTAGTGGAAAGTGCCTGAAAGTGTGGAACAACCCCATTGTTTTTTTTTTTCCTCTGTTCATGGGACAAGAAAGACTCCAGCAGACAGACTTGGCCTGTTATGTTGAATCTATGGTTGACCTGATGTCGGTGGACCGCTGGTTTTATGGCAGGTATTTTGGAACCTYTTGTATAATCCGTTGCAGTCTAGAAAAGAGAGTCCCCACATTTGAAAAAGGCTGTGTTCCTGTGAGATCTGCGGTCATGTGCAGCTGTTGAGCTCACACAAAGAAGGAGGGCAGAGGTGACGGACTGACAGCGGATGGCAATCCAAGACTTGACTTGTGATTGCAGTTGATACTTTGAATAATGCTCATCTGCATGCAAAATAAGTAAAATAATTATATTTTGTTTAGGGGTGTCCCGATACCAGTTTTTTCAAGACTGAGTACAAGTACAAGTACTTCAGTTTAGGTACTCACCGATACCGATACCAAGTAGCGGGGTTCATGTGGTTTATCTGTTCAACTTGTTGAATATTAAACAGAATAATGAAATGCAATTATCATGCAAAAATTGATGGGTAAATATTATGTTTGACAATAAAAAGGTAGTGCAAACTCTGACAAGTAAAGTTGGTATATATATATAACACCATAACTTTTGAAACTGTTTATTTCAAACAGGCTCTTTTTTATAAGGCCACACTCCCTCTGAATGTATTAACAATACAAATACTGCAAAACAAATGCTGTTGCATACATTAAAAAACAAAATAAGTTATTTTTATACATTTTCCTCAACATGCAACTACCAAGTTTAAATTAAATGTAAACCGTAAATTTTAGCAGCAGATCTATAAAAGCTTACTCTGCTTCTGTCTTAAACTGTTAAAATAATGACTCATAG